GGTGTACGTGGCTGGCGCCTTAGCCGGTTGAGCTATAGGCGCCGAGCCCATAAGTTGATTTCTAATACCAGCTGCCTGCTGTCCCCGCAGAGGGAATGGCTGTAAGCTGCACCTTCCCATGCCTCTCTCTTGTGTGGCCTGGGCTTACTTTCTCTGTGCTTGCTATCTTATCTCTTGCAAACAGTATTCTGGGAGTTGTGCTAATGGCAAGGGGATTGAAATCCCTTGGGTCTGGAAAAGTCACTTCCGGTTTGCTGTGTATCATGACATTTCATATATAACAGAAAAGTTTGCTTGTCCTGTGACTTTATGTTTAATATCATTTGGGTTATCAGTTCATGTTTGGAAATCACCTAATTTATTATAACACATTTTATTCATTTAACAAGTTTATCTGAAGATTAAAAGAGTATTTATGAAGCACTTAGAACTATGCCCGGCATATGATAAGTACTTTATAAATAGTAACTCATTTAATTTTTATAATAACTCTGAGTTGCATTATCATTACTATTTCCATTTTAATGATGTAGAAACTGATGCACAGAGATTAAGTACATGTTCCAAGACTATGCAGCTAGCTAATGGTTGATTTGAAACCATGGAATCTAGCCATGGAATTTGTTTTCTTTATCTTTTTCTTTTTTTTTAGACAGAGCGTTACTATGTCGCCCTCGGTAGAATGCTGTGGCATCACAGCTCACAGCAAGTTCAAACTCTTGGGCTTAAGAGATTTTCTTGCCTCAGCTTCCCTAGTAGCTGGGACTACAGACGTTCACCACAACAACCTGCTATTTTTTTTATTGGAGTTGTTTAGCTGGCCTGGGCTGGGTTTGAACCTGCCACCTTCCGTGCATATGGCTGGGGCCATAACCACTGTACTGTGGGTGCTGAGCCTGTTTTCTTAATACTAAGCATTGCTGGCTTAGGTGCCTATATCTTATTGCCTTATGATGGTTGTAGACTGGCTGACTAAGGTAGATATTGAATGGAATAAGAAATATGCAAGGTATTATAGCTTTATTTGATAATTATAAAGAATAAAATAATTTACTGAAGATGTATCTTTTTGTTATATTATGCTTTACTTATCTCATCTGTTACAACTTAGCTAATTATGGAACATCTCATGCTCAAATTTACTGTGGTACTAGAAACAAATCTCAGGGTTATCCCATTTGTTGCTAAATGTTGCTAAGTGAAACTACTTGAATACTGATAACTTGATAGTTTGTTATATGAATAATTAACTCGTTTATATTGCAAATGGACACACGGTTAAGTTGTTGTAGTTAAATTTTTACTTATGCTGAATTCTATAATATATATTAATGTCTTTCATAACTCTGACTGAGTAATCAAGATGTTCAGACTGATTAAAAGTGATAAGATCTTTACTGTTACATCCTAACACCTGGCAAGCAGTATGTAGACTTGGAAAATTGACTCATCCTCAATTTGGACATGCCACTCTATACCAGAGTGTTCTACCTGGATTCAGGAACTCTTTAGTCTGGATGCACATCTGAATCACACGAGAAGCTTCAAAAACTCCTGATGCCCAAGCCTCACTGCAGCTCTGTATCCCCAGCACTATTTTAGATGCTAGGGAAACAGCATTGAGCAAAAACCAGGGAATTTCCTATGTGTGTCGAGGTAACATTATAATCAAGGGAAAATGAAAATGCATAAGTCACTGTAAGATATAATGAGTAATATTACAAGCTATAAAGAAAAAAATCCAACAAAAAATAGAGTAAATGTTTAGATCAAAGTTATTTAAATCTCAGAGAACCCCTACTCGTGACATAGCTATCATCTTTCTTGGCCTGGAGTAAAGACTTGTCCTCTTCATCCTTTCCTCTCCCTCCCCACATCTTGTTGCTTTCTTTGTCCTGTGCTGAATTGTGACCCTCATGGACTCTGTGCTTCTATTTCTGTAGCTTCCAGCCATTAACTTCGATAGTGCCCAAAATAGCATGACGAAGTCTGAGCCCACCATCAAGGTGGGTGGATACAGAGCTCGAGGTCAGTGGCATGAGTCCACAGAAGCTGTTGAACTTGAAAATTTTAGGTAAGAAATCTAGTATCTCCCTTGGCTTCAGCAACCTATTCCAGTTAGTCCAGAGTTTTATTTAAGTTTATCATAGGAGCTAGAGTTGAAAATATGTTTCAAAGTTTACCATGGAGATTCTTAATATTTATTAGTTAGTGCTTAAACCATTCCCAGAAATCATGTGTAAATAACAAGCTTGTTGGTTTACAGGTGGAACTGACCTGGGAGTTACAGACACCGTGCTGACACATAATCTGGCATTTGCTCAATGAGGAAGTGGCTCCAGATTATCGACCTGGCTAGGCTGATTCTGATCTTTGTCTTAGCTTTGGGTCTGTCTGGATCTTGCCAGTAATGAGAAGGCATAAAACAAGCTGTTGCTGTGAACAGATGTGGTGGTTAAAGTATGTGGTTGTCAAAACAACTGAGGTTTTGAGCTGAAGGGATAGCAACTCACCGTTAAAGTTGAAAGTATCGGCCGTTGTTTATCTCTGTTGCCATGTAGACCTTCTAGAAGTTGCACATTCCCAGGGGCCACTCCCCTTTCAGAAGCTGGTTCTCTCAGTTTTAAAATGTGCTCAGGTCACTTGACACTAAGTATCATGTAAATAAAATGAATGGCATGAAATATGAATATAAACATTTGAGATGATCATTGTTTATTTGGCCTAGATTTTATTTCCGTGTCATTTTATGACAATGAATTTAATGGTCTAGAAAAGTCATATGACATTACATGGGTTCAAATTTCAAAAATACATTTTTCAGCAATGAACACTTAATACTTTAAAAATTGTTATATATTCAGTTTACCAGTATCCAAGTGGAGGAAACCATTACAGGCCAGGCATGGTGGTTCCCACTTCTAGCCCTCTGGGAGGCTGTAGCAGAAGGATTGCTTAAGCTAAAGAGTTTGAGAACAACCTGAGTAAGAGCAAGACCCTTTCTCTATTAAAAATAGAAAAACTAGTTGGCATCAGGGTGGACACCTGTAGTCCCAGCTACTTGGGAGGCTGAGGCAGGATTGCTTAAGCCCAGGACTTTGAGGTTGCAGTGAGCTACGATGCCACCCCTGCACCCGGCTAGGGAGGGTATGTGCCATCTAATGGCATCTGAATGAGGGCAAAGGCATAAGGTTACAGAACTTGCCTTGAGGTAGTATATTCATGTACTTCCGTTTTATTTGGCCTACATTTCAAAATTAATTTTTTAAATTATGCACAAAACATTATATTATAAATTCATAGCAATGCGATCCTTTTGTTTATTATTTCTTTCCTTCCCCACGTTTTAAAGTGGAATTTTTAGGACTTTTTTAAAACCTCTTCAGTGAGCTATATTATCAGTAAACTGAAGCTGAAGCTGGGATATCTCAAAACTTTGCTAAAAACACATATAATATATAAAACAACTAACCAGTCAGCACAGCTGAAGGAGTGCAGACTGTGTTTAATAAATCCCCATTATCCAGGAATTACATGCGACAACGAAGCGGATGTTGATAGCTTAGTCAGAGGTAATGTGTTTGGAAAAGGTGAAGGGAGGGAATTCTTCTATTCCTGTTCACCCAACTTTCTAAATAATGTGCCCCAATAATTCTTTATCTCTGACTAATTCTTCCTTCTGACTAATTTCAATAGCTAAATGTTTGTAGGGAATAAATTTAATAATATGATAAAAGGAAATACATATGCTTGGCTGTAATTTGTATTATTAATTTATAATTGGATTTCTAGTTCCTATTTTGACAATTGATAATTGCCTTTGCACAATGTTGAACCCAAGACTCCTTCAATCTTTGCCTGAATATAGATGGTCTTTGTCTGCACTGGTAACTTTGGCACAGCCTAGATAATTTTTATTATAAAATGGTTTCTGTTTGTTTTATCTCAGTATAAACTACAAGAATGAGAGAAATTTCAGCAAACATCCACAGCATAAACTATTTCAGGAGATCTTTACAGCCTTGGTGAAAAATAGACTCATCTGCAGGTAAGCTTTTCTTTTTTTTTTTTTTTTTTTTTT